AACAGTAGTCACGGAGAGGCTAAAGATGGAGGGTGTCTCTAATGTCAAAGTCTAATCTAAACTACACCAGCGCCATCTATTTCGTTGTAATTGCGTAGACGTAGTTAAAAAAAGTTAAGTAATGTATTGCGCTATTACTATAACTCTGTCGCTTTTTTAAACTCCAAATTTTTCAGACGAATACTGTCTATAGTTTACATGAGTAGTACACATTTAAATAAAACACTTCAACGGATTAAAACGCGATATATTAGTGAAACTTATTTGAAAATCATTTTTAACTTCAGCCCAACTTGTCTGATGCTTTGTTTTAAACCGTTAAAGTGTTTTATTTAAATTTTAAGACAAAGTTGAACTCGGTAGCGATGATCACATTGCTATCATTGCACCAACGAACCCGTCTATATCAACTTCCTTATCATTTTTGCATCCTTGCCAATATGTTCTACAACAAACATACACTTCAATTCAAACTACACATTCGTGTCCGACGAAAAATTCGTTAACACTACATAACATGTAAACATAAGCTGATTCATACAATGTGAGTCACCTTTCCATAAACTATGATAAAGGAAGGACATTCATGACATATTACGTTTTAGAATCTAGATGATTAGAAAATTATTATAGTTGAACCTCATTTGTCTTCTTCTAATATGACACAATCGGGACAAATTGACACCTGAAATGTGGTCATTTGTTTGTCGTAGTAATTTTAAAAGTTTTTTTTTTTAATTTTCAAATAAAAAGTTGCAGTTTCGTTCCATCTTCACTCCCTGGGAAAAATTTATAACTTGGCTTATTTATATTTTTATAGTCTAATAAGAGCACAATGACCGAAAATTGTTAACATAATTATTTTAAATAAAACACTTTAACGGTTTAAAACGAGATATATATTAGTTAAACATATTGGAAATATTATTTTTAACGGGGAGACCCCCCGTGACCACGGTTGTTGCAAAGCTACCGAAACGTCGTGCCGCAGTTAATGATAATTTTTAAATAGTGGTACTCACGTAAACTACAGACGGTATTTAACATAATTCTTACACAAATAATAGGACAACTTCGTCTAAGTTAATTGTGCATTTTTTATTGTTCTCGTAATTGAATATATTCTTTTTTTATTAGGCCACTCTGCCTTTAGCGGCCTTATAATAATAAATATAAAGTAAATTAAAATAATTAATGAGAGACCTTACCTTACCTTGTTTAACATATGAAAAATATGTTAAACAAGGTAAAAACCAGATCCCATCGGAGTTAACTTTTTCATTGAAAGAAAAATATAATTATTGTTTGAATACTTAATTAGTTGTGAAATGTGGTAACAAGGTCAGTAGTAATGGCTAATTTATACAAGTCTGTACTATTTATCACGGTACCGTGAAGTGCAGAATTATGTAAGAAATATACAGCCAAGAAGTAACTATTAATTCCACGGTTGAGTACAGTAATTGAATAAGAATTGTGAAAAATTTCCTTGATAAAATTATATAAATAAACTGGATTGAATCATACTTTTTAAATTTGTTTTTTTCATACATATTTTTTGGGTACCTTGAACCGTTATCGTTACGTACCTACCCAACGGATAAATATTTTTTCCCGTATTCTTCACATTTCCCGTTGTTCTTAGCGCCTATAAGACACATCGCGATGTTTTATAGCCTATAACTTTCCTCGATAAATGCTCTGACGTACCAAAATATATTTATTTATTTTATCCGGGGGCTCCTTGTTCAAACAAAAATATATATAGTATAGATTTATTTTGTAAAAATCTTTCTAAACCGTTAAAAATGTTTATATAAATGCTACTATTATCAAGTATTATAGAAAAATTACGCACGATAATGACTTAATGCGTACAATATTGTTTAAATAACACGAATATAATACGAACGTTACGATATTGGGTAAATAAGTATTGTTTCATTTGTATTGTTCGGGTTTGGATGTTTGCTTAATTGTTTTATAACGCGTTTTCAATGTGGTCTTACAATATTACGAATTTAGAAATGGTTTTTAAAATAGTATGTTATGCGTTATATATGCGTCTATGCTTATTACTTTATAAGAAGTATAACTGTTTAATTTTAAATTGAATTGCTCAAAATGCATTGTACTGCTTTGTCACTTTCACGTGAAAATTATTGTCTTATTCAAGAACACCCTTGTTTTTTTTTTCTTCAGACGAATCAAATATGTTTTCCTAGGAATTCAGTAATTTCATAATTGAGGCTGCTAGGAAAATAAAAATGCGTAATTAACTTGACGATTGCACGAAAAAGGCTTTTTACCAACTTTTGTGCAATTTTTAGTCACTGTGCTCTTGTGGATTTACATTTTTAGACTATAAAAATATAAATATAAGTCAAGTCATAAAATTGCAATTAGGCTACACTGGCTCTAATCTGCTTCGATTAAAAATGAAAATCGTTTCAGTTGCGTTTAGACAGCAACGACGATTATAAATGTCCAAGGCGTATTAAAAAGAAGTTATTTTATTATCCGTTATCATTAATTGTTGTAACATGACTCACATTTTTCAATGATTGTGTGGTAAATTGACATTCGATGCAACACGCGTCATTCAAATGATAGCGATTTTAAGTAGCTATTAATTGTAAAATATCAATTTCAACTGATTCACAATTGTATGGAGACGTGAAAAATATATTTTTTGTTCATTGAGAATAACCTATATTAATTTGAAAGATTTGCATTTTAAATATGACACGGGACTCGAACCTGTGATTAGTACGTGCCGTTGCTCTAATTAGCTACCCTGCCAATTATCAATCATAATTTTCAAATATTAAAACCATTTCAAAATAAACATAAGCTAAATGGCTTGGCCATAAGCTAGAGACTCTGGGTTCCAGGTTCAAATCCCTGGAAAACAGTTTGTTTAGCTCGGAAAGGGTGATATAATTAATACAGTTAATAATGAGAAATGAAACACAGAACCGAAAAAATATAACTTTATACCCCTAAATACTCCTCGTACATATCATATACTACATGGGCTTGCTAACTAATATTTTATTTGATGATAGATTTCAGGAACTACTTGTTTTTTTTTTACCTTTTTTTTTTTTTTTTTTTTTGGTTTTTTTTTTTTTTTTTTTTTATTCCCCTTTTTTTTTTTTTGGGGGGGAAAAACCGAAAAAAGGGGGGAAAAAAAGGGAAAAATTATTAACTATATAATTCATTATACCACTATGGAGAATTTTCTTTTTAAATCTTTTAAAAAAATCTAATATATATATATACTGATATATAAAGACACTGATGACGTAGATAATAATTTGCAAAACAAATTTTGAAATAACCATTCCACGCGGACGAAGTCCTCTGGACTCAGCTAGTTTTGTAGATTTTGTTATTTTTTTCTTTTTTAGATTGTTATATTTGTTGTTTCCCCGTACTTACCTAATATTCTTTTATTATTGTATTGTATTTGAAAACTTTCATATTTCTCACATGTAGATTACTAATCTATTTACCAATCAATCTTACCTAGATTGAGAGCTCAATTGGTTAAAGCAACAGCACTCTGTGGATGGCGATTCGAGTCCCGTCCATGTCGTAAATATACTAAATAGATTTCTAATTTAGGAGCATTGTAAAGTACTCAGAATCTCAACTTATTACGAGGCTTTAAATTCCTGGAGCTACTGTGTCCTTGATTGAATTGTCATCATCGTGTGATTCGATTCAATCATAAGAATCAAGTCATTGATAACTGCTTATGTGTACCTACTGTACGTGTGTAATTGCTTTAATATTTTATAGAAGCGAGATTTTGTCCGTGTAAGGTATACGGCAAGAATATTTATTTATTTTTATATTTGAGATTACATTGCGCGTGAGGTGCATATTAATAGGTAGAAAAAAAATATCGTCGATGACACGTAGGACATGGTAGCTCAATTGGTTAAAGTATTGGACCTGATGCTGTGCCTGACCGAATTTCTTTTCCGGGTTTCGAAGCCCGGTACTCTTGCCCTCCTAGGTAAAGTACACATGAAGGTATGAAGGTTGGGTGTTTTAAAATACAATTACTTTGTGAATTCTAAAAAAAAAATATATAGTGCCTTCATGTGAAAAATATTAATGTTTTCAAATTAAACTTTTAATTTCATATATTTTAATCAAAAAGACTAACTAGTACAAGTAAGGTTGAAATTAACTCCGAGAGGTGCATCATCAATAAGTTGAAAAAATTCAGAGGTGTAGAGTCGGTAGCTCAATTGGTAGAGAACACACGGAAAGCTGACGATGCCGGTTCAAGTCCTGCCCGAGTCGAAAAATTTTTTCATTATTTTCGATTTTACATATATAGTGCTTCATGTGAAAAATATTAATGTTTTCAAACTTAGAAATATAATAGATTTACAGCCAGGGATTATTGGGAACTTAAAAAATATACTTAAGTTGTCTAGATTAAGGCTCATAAAACGCGTCGTCATGCTATGGTATGAATATGTTTGTCGTGACGGATACAGCCTTAATCAACTATAAAGCCTTAAATCCGGGATGTAAAGTAGGCCGTTTACGACTTAATCAACTTTAATCCTCGGAACAAAAGCACGTAAAATGGGTCATTTTGACCGTAGTTAAAATTAACAATCGTTACGTTTCTAAAGCTGTTAGCTCTTGTGGAATTTCCCACTTATGATTATTAAGGGGGAGAGGGGAGTCAAAATAGGTATATTCAGCCTTCAATAGAAGTTTAAATAAAATACTTCTAACGATTTAAAACGTGAAATATATTTGTTAACTGATTACAATTTATTTTAACTACGCCCCGACGTTCAGAATGCTTCGCAGCTATTGTGGCCTCGGGGGAATTGTATATACAGGTCCATTGTCTAACAGTTCAACTTTTCATAGAATATCGATTCTAAGTGCACCTACTTCAGTGTTTAATTTTTATTATTAAGTTTAAAATTATAAAAGTAATAACATTGTATTTTTTTTTTCAGTTGGACACGAGTGGAAATGGGTACATTGACTTGAAAGAGCTGAAAGACGCCCTCGATGGCGTCGGATACAAAATACCGCAATGGAAGGTTGGTGTAACTACCGTATATACACACTCTTTATTATACCTACTGGTACAGATGATTGTATCAGCCTATAGATCGGTCCCATAGCTGGGACTCGAGCATCTTAAATGGGTGTATAGATAGGTTTTGCCACGCTGGCCAAATTCATGATGCTTTAGTTATAAGACACCGATTTCCTCACCTTGTTTTCCTTCAACTGAAAATCACTTTACCCAAGTGAAAAAGAGAAATTTATGCTTATTTTCTGGACAAAGCATACGTTTTTTTTTGTATTGCGTGAGAGGTATTTGTTGAAAAGAGTCGACGACGATAACGGGTAGAACAGTATCCCATTTGGTTAGACCAGGACAGGTATTATCGAGTCCCGCCCGGATCGTAATTCTTTTCAGTGACGGCACTAATCATCTCGGCCTGAGTCATGTAAAGAGAGTAATTAGTGCTTTTCGGGTTTCCAGAATTGTTTATGGAAACTGAAAGACTTACGCGCGAGATGGGGAAGCCCCGTGTCATTGAACATTTTATATCGCTTTTGCTACTGTAACGTAAGCGGGTGAAATGGGGAAAGTCGCGAACCCCAATTTCGCCGCTACTGTATTTACGAATTTAACTAATTGTTAGCTCTTACCAAGTATAACTGAGAAGAAAATATTTTAAGAACCAATTATAAATTGAAAAAAGATTACGACACGGGCAGAACGTGAACCGGCATCCATAGCGTTCCGTGCTGTTGCTCTTACAAATTGAGCTACCGTCTCGTACACTGAGCACTTTGGATACATGCAACTCTCGCGCAATTTAAAAAAGAACAATTTATTATCGATCTAATATATTTTGTATATCAAGGTCCGTTGCATGATCGAGGAATATTACGATAACGGATCAAAACACGGCAGAGCAAACGGCAGTGTCAACGGTGACTCCAGAAAGAACGGCATGACCCTCACAGAGTTTGAGGAGCTCTGCGGCAATCTCAAGGCCCAACAGGTAAAGCAACATGCCGTTTAAATAAAAAACGTTAACGGTTTAAAACGCGAATTATATAAATAATAAGACTTATTTACAAATTATTTTAACTCGGGCCCGACGTTTGGGATGCTTTTCAGCAGGAGACTGCTTCGAAGCTCGAACGGCTCTTATATATTTCGCGTTCTAAACTGTAAACCGTTGTTATAATTAATACACGTAACGTCCGGGGTTCAAATCCGGCGATATATGTTTAGGTTTGGCAGAGAATTTGCGATCGCTATAAATATGTCAATGAATTCATGAAATAGACACATGGTGAGACTCAGATGTCTGTCCCACGCCCTTTCTTTATGAGTATTTTTATGTTTTACTATCTAATACGGAAAAACTTTATTTTCTTGTTTGCGGGAGTGACAAAGAAGTTAATAATAATGCCTTAATTTCGAGAAAAATCTTGATTAATTAAGAAAATGTTATATTCGAACCAGTACTTGCTGAGATATGCGCGTTTATACATCCAAACTCTTTATATTATTAGTATATATATAGCTATGTATATTTGATGTAAGATTAGCTTGCTTACTGAATATGTATGTAAAATCCTATCATAATTTGAACTAAATGACAACCTCCCCGTGACCACGGCTGCTGCAAAACATCCGAAACGTCGGGCAGTAGTTTAAATAATTTTCAAATAAGTTTAACTAATATATATCGCGTTTTAAACCGTTAAAGTGTTTTATTTAAATGTGTACTACTCGCTTAAACTATAGACAGTATTTAAAAGACAATGTCAGCACTTCTAACAAGCTTAATCCATTAAAATCGTTTAACCCTTCGTGTTAAATGGCTTTTTATTGCAGCATAGAACCAATCAGGTCATCAAAGATTTTAATTCTGGCCCTTAAGAAGTTAAACAGCTTTATTGGCAGTTAAATTATGTCTGTCAAATTCATTGAGGCCTGAACAATGTGTTCTGATTAATTATATTACGATGAAATTGGTTACTTCAGTGTATTTTAAATAAAACACTTTTAAAACGGTTTTAAACGCGAAATATAAGTTAAACTTATTTACAAATTATTTTAACTACGGCCTGACATATCGGATGCTTGGACCGGAGAAACGGGTGCTGAGTCTGAGAAACAATTAATAATAATTACTGATTTAGTCCACAAAATAATTTTTAAACTATAACTGAAGCTGAAGCGAAACCTGAAGAGTTTGTTTTAACGCACTAATCGCAGAAGCTACTGGTTCGAGTTGAAAAAATATTTTTGTGATGGTAGAAAGGCTTTAGGATATATATACATCGGGATCCGACCAATAGGAGCGAACAAACAGTAATGCCCAAAATAAGTATACCGCGCGGACGAAGTCGTGGGCACAGCTAGTATAATTTTTGTCAACTCGCGATAAAACGCGATAAACAACATTACTTTTTATGACAATCCCGACAGACAATACTCTTTCTTTGTATTTTTTCAATAAAATGATTTAAAGCGTAAATGACACCTTGATATAAAAGTTTGCATTGCTGAAAGCTGAGCTACAATTCGTCGACGCTCAAAGTTTAATATTTAGCAACTACCCTCGTACCTCGCTTCAAGCATAAAAGACCGCAGTCAATTTGTATAGACACCCAAATAATGACGGTATTTTTCAGCGAGCTTTCACGAACAATAGAAGCGATTGTTCGAAGCTGACGTTTAAATGTGAAGCGTTATTTGCTGAAATGTATTTTCAGGTCGCCAGCACGTTTAAACAGGCTGTCAGCAAAAAGGAGAATTTGGAACACCTCGGTGGAATGAGCGAGGCTTCCAGTGATGGTATGTTGTTGATTTATTGCTTATAAAATTAAGATTTTCCTTCTTTTTAGGAATTTTGAGGTGATTCACGCGGTGGGTGTCGATTCGAGTCCCGCCGCTGTCGTATTCGTTGAAATCTAAATAGTCTTTTTAATTTATATAATTCACTACTTTTTTCTGTTATATTTGTGTTGTGGTAATTGTTATAAATAACAAATTAAATTCTTTCTATCTCTCCTCTTTCAAATACCTTTCATCTTATTTTAAATAAAAAAAGTTTAATTCCTCTCCGAAAAAGTTTTCTTAGTATATTAGGTTAAGCTATGTATAATTGTTTTTATACGTACAACTCTGCTGTCACGCATACCTCTTTTATTACTGTGTTTTAATTTTGCGGTTGCTTGGAAGAGACGGCTATAAAACCGCCGTTTGACCCTAATCAATTTTGTTTTGTGCTATCTTCTGTTTCTTGTTTTATGACAATAGAGAATACATATTTGTATTTGTACTTTTTTGGGTTCAATAGATAACGTGAAACAACAATTAGAGGGACAGATAAACTGAATTTATTATTGTAGTCTTTTGTTTTCTGTTCAATTTTAAAACCTCAAATTCCAGGAACAACACATTCAGTACGGTTAGAAGAGCAGATGGCTTTCTCTGGGTGGATTAATAGTAATCTTGAACACGATCCTGACCTGGCCCATCTGCTTCCAATCGATTCTGAGGGAAAGCAGCTGTATCAGAAACTGAAGGATGGGCTTATTCTATGGTAAGAAAAAAAACACGTTGCTTCGTTCGATAGAACGGCAGCACGGAACGCTGTTTAGGCCGGTTCAAGATGAAAATTATCTGATTTAAATAAAACACTTTAAAGGTTTAAAACGCGAAATGTATTACTTAAACTCCGGGCTGTAGTTAAAATATGTTAAAATAAGTTTAACTAATTAACTTATAAAAAACTTTATTATTATGCTACATAATTTTTTAGAGTCGTTATTTAATACACACAATTTTCATATTGCGGTGTCATAATTGCAAAACAATAATGATTACTTGAATTAATAATTATATTAAGGAAAACTGAATTTCAAGGAAAATACAAGTTCTCAATGCAGTTACAGACATTGTTTATCACGTTTTCCACAGACGGATAAAGAAAATCCTTTACCATTAGCTCAATTGGTGTTGTACCAAGCACGGAACGCTAACGATGCCGGTTCAAGTCCTGCCCGAAGTGATTTTTTTTTCAATTTATTTTCGATATTTAAAATATATAGTGTCATGCGCAATAACATAAGAAAAATATTAAAGTGTACAAATAAAACCCTTATTCTACGGATTTACATATCATTTACACGCAATTTTTGATAATTATATGAAAGATATACAGGTACCGATAGATGTGTAGAATTAATTTTAATAAAATTCTAAGTCAAATTACTTAAGGAGCTAGAACCCTTGATAACTGCAAAGTTATTTTCAAACATTTAAGATGTGGTAAAATTCAACAATTTTATCGCTATTTCTTCTGTATACATAATAAACTTGTTTAAATTTCATCAAAAATGATATGAACTTTTTGAAAATGAAAATTTAAATGAAAATTTTATTATGATAAGCTGGCTCTTTATATAAACGCGAGAGGTCCTAGGTTCAAAAATAAATCATTTCGGTCATGCTGTGTACAAAACCTGAACACGACCTCGTCAATAAATAAAATCGATCACTTTTACTTTAATGTTATATATATTTTTTACAGTAAAGTTATCAACCACTCCTGTCCTGACACGATTGATGAACGAGCGATAAACAAAAAGAACCTCACTCTTTACACAAAACATGAGAATCTTACGTTGGCGCTGGTCTCCTCACAAGCTATTGGGTGCAATATCGTTAATATAGACGCCCATGATCTTGCCAAAGGTACGCATACAATCAGCTCTTTTTTATTCCCACAGCTGGGAAACTAACACCTGTATAAGTAGAACACGCTAAGACTTAGAAGACACATGTTAATTTTTTCATGATCCTAATTATTTTTTGTGCACCGCTGAGATCGAAGTCGCGACCTCACAAACTGGAATCGTTTGTACTGTAGTGTGTATGGATTGTTTTTTTATAATATTCTTCGTGTACACACATGTTTTTTTCTCTGTTGTTTGTAAGTACAACCCACGCTTAGTTGTTTTTTACATTGTCTTCTTGGCTTTAAACATTTACAAATTTTTGTTTTTAGGAAAACCTCATCTTGTTCTCGGTCTGTTATGGCAGATTATTCGCATCGGTCTATTCAACCAAATTACGTTAGAGCATTGTCCGGGACTCACAGAACTTCTTAACGACCAGGTACATATATAATAATTCTTTTACTAAAATACTTTTAACACATAATACAACTTTTAAATTGTTATATTTAAACGTAAGGTATTCGTGTTAACTGTTATCCTTTCTTATTAATAGGTGGCACTACGATACCACACCTCAGTCTTCTAATTAAACTGTAACTTAACTACATATATACAAAACATTGCTGTGCAAACAATTTTTTTTAACTAACAATCTTTTTTACATGCATAAATTACTATTAAACAAACTAACAACGTTCAATGAGAGAAGAAATGTTACATACAACGACGACAATGGTTCAGTTATGTCAAGTTATTTCAACAAAGTAAAACAATTAGACGCTTATACGCTTCTATATCATCTAAAAATCAAATGTATATATCGCATTACTGTACATACACATTGATTGAGTGTAAATATTGACAAGTAAACTTTTGAGCTAAGAATTTTGACAAGAGCTAAAAGTTTTGTGTTATTTCAAAGTTGTGATTGATCATTAACTTCCAAATATAATAAAACCACATGAAATAATTGACTTTTCACTTGCTGACTATTTAAGCACTGAACTAACTAAATGTACATAACTTCAAAGCCATTCAAAAACACTTATGAAACTTAAAATAATGTAGTGTATTTTTCTAACTTGGCAAAAGACCATTACAAATATGGCCGATGTAAAATCATAGAGAACTAATGATGATACGAATGATTACCTTTCAGACAGTGAATGTATTGCCAAAGATAACACAAGGACAAGGAAATATCGATTACATATGGCCCAAACAACCTCAATTTTCAAAATCACTTATGGCGATCTTTTTTATAAACTTTCTATCTTTTGGATCTAAATAATCTTTTTAAAGTATAATTATTATTATAAAACTCTACGGTTTTGACGCTTTTCAGCGATCGCTTAAACTTTGCTTACATCCCATCCCTATGTAAATGTCAAACTATAGAAATTTAAATCTGTCCATATCTGAATTTGAGGTAGTTCGGTAGTATAATATATAATCCAGTATCTCAAAGTGTTTTTTACTGTGAATCAATCCCGATTTCATATAAATTGTGTTTTTTTTTTAATATGCCAAGTTAGAAAAAATACACTATAGATTACCATTGTTTTTGTTTTGTGTACTTACCAAATATAATTATATTCAGGAACGCATCGAAGACCTTCTAGCCTTATCTCCCGAGGCAATTCTCCTGCGTTGGGTGAACCATCAACTGCAGTGCGCGGGAGTCACTCGTCGCTGCACCAACTTCCAACAAGATGTCGCTGACTCCGAGATCTACTCGTACCTGCTTAAGCAGATCGCGCCAGATGACGCAGGAGTTACCTTGGACGCTCTTAGAGTAAGTAAAGTCTTTCATAAATGCCGTTATTAGCAAAGTAGTCCACAATAGTTTTAATTATTGATGACGAATAAATAATCCTGTTGTTTTAAAATAACCTAGCTAAATGGAAAACTCTAAATCTATAGTTATTGTAGCCACTCCGTTTAGTAAGCATATTCTTTTGTTTTTCATTGATGCACGGAGTTGCATATGTACTATTTATACAATTACTTACGTATTCATCTTCAGCAGCTTACTGTATATCTCAAAAAACATATTTTTTAAGTCTTAAAATTAACTAATCCTTTTATTTTTATGAAATCGTATAGCAATTTAGTATTGTCTGTTGTTTACGCGAGTAGTTCACATTTAAGGAAAACACTTTAATAGCGAAATACGAAGTAGTTAATTTATTTTAACAAGGGCCCGACGTTTCGGAAGAGAAAAAAATTGAAATTAAAATTGATTATATTGACTTACTAACAAATTTTTCCAACACATATAATATTCACATTAACAAGTATTTGAGGGTAGCTGTAAAGGAAATCATTATTATTCTATCGTCATGTATTTCATCGGCGCGTACGCAGTTGATCAACGATACATAGAAAAAAATAGTATTATTAGACGCATCGAAGCTCTTACGTGCAAAATTTTTCTTTCTTTATTTTATTTTCACGATTGTACATTGCAGGAGACAGATTTACTTCGTCGCGCAGAGGTCATGTTGCAACAGGCCGCCAAGCTGCGCTGTCGTGCCTTCGTGGCACCAGCTGATGTGGTTAACGGAGTGTACAAACTTAACTTGGCCTTCGTCGCTAACCTGTTCAATCAGCACCCGGGCTTGCAACGCAACGAGACTGATGCAGATACCTACCACCAGCTAGATGAGACCAGGGAAGAGAAAAGTGAGTTTTTTTTCTTATAATTTCGATTATAAGGGTTGTCTCGTTGTTTCAAATTTAACATCACCTTTATAACTTTTGTAAAAAAAAAAATACGTTACGGCATCCCCATTATAAAGCTGAAAAGATTTTTGAATACGCTAATCTTAGAAACTACTGGTTTGAATTGAAAAGTTTTTTCACTTAAACCAGTAGTTACATACACCATTTGTTAAATATGGCAGTAGGTATTACGCGCAGAGACCAATAAGATCGAAGAAAAAGGGAAAAACCGGAAATACATCGTCACTAAAACGGTTCAATAAACAGTAATTATTCTTTAAATAATATTTAAAAAAAACGCGACTGTGTATGTCTATCTTTTGTCTTATAACATTTATTAATATATTTTTTCAGCTTATCGTAACTGGATGAACTCAATGGGCGTAGCCCCCCATGTCAACTGGCTCTACTCGGATTTGACGGACGGTCTTGTTATCTTCCAATTGTACGATATCATCAAACCTGGCATTGTAAACTGGAAGAAGGTATTATTTTGACTTTGTCCCTAGATAATGTAGCATATTTTTTATAATATAACATGAATAGTAATAATGTATCAAATACTAAAAAAGAAATTTGAGACGTAAAAAAAAACAACAACACACATTTTTTTAATAAATAGTATATATTATAGAAACTTATATAAAAATATTTTTTCTACCTTCTTGTATTTATGCTAATACTCCCAATATAAAACACTTTAAAACGAGAAAGTATTTGTCGACTTGTCTGTCTTTCAGAGAACATAGCTGCTGCAATAGCTGATACTAATATAATTTGCGTTTTAAAGTGTTAAAAGTGTTTTATTTCTAATGTACTTCTGCCTACAGACAATACTCCTAACTTTGTATTGTGTACTCTCAGGTACATCGTCAGTTCTCCAAGCTTCGCAAGTTCATGGAACGGTTGGAGAATTGCAACTACGCAGTGGAGTTGGGGAGACAACTCGGTTTCTCTTTGGTTGGAATAGCTGGTGCCGACATCAACGAGGGAAATGCCACACTCACGCTTGGTACATAATAAAGCTTATTATAATTATACTTGTGACGGGCTCGTTGGTGTAACGGTAGCTATGTATGGCATAGCAAATTCCGTCCGGGTCACAAACCGTTCCCAGATGAAAAAGCCGTCAAGTGTAATCGTGTCTTGGTCCCTTTGTGGATATCCAAATATTCAAAGAAAAGATAGGTCGACAGTGCATCTTGTTTAGATGTTATATGGCTGAGGATTTTCACCTACCATCAAGTGCCACCGATGCTTATCTGTCCTTCTATGATAAAAAAAATACAAACTTATACAGTTCTGACAAGTCCTTCCGTTTTAATCTATTTGTGTCTCATCGGACACAAGTCTAATAAGAAAGGGGTTTTAAAATCATGCTGCGCAAGCGCAAGCCTTAACGACTATCGCAATTAGTTAGAAGTATCACTTCGGCCTTGAATTCGAACCCGGGATTGTGATCTGCAGTTGCATGTACAAATTGATCAACAAGGCAATTATTTATAATTCGTTTAAGGACATGAAATTCGTTATATTTTTAATATATAATTACTATATGCGTTCTTGAAGCAACGTTAGAACTTAAAGAATATTATGGCTAAAGGAATTCATAAATTAGGTTATTTTTTTAACTAACAGACTAAATTAGTTTTTCTTTTTTATTAATTGCTTCTTATAACAAACAGATCGAAATCCAGCTGATTTTGATTCTCTGAAATTCTCAGACCCCACATTTTTATTTATATTTAAAAGATAAAATTTGAAACTGATGTTAGTGGTTAAAATTAATATGGAATAATTAATTTTTTTAGCTTTAATCTGGCAACTAATGCGCGCTTACACACTATCTGTTCTGACGCGGCTGGCGAACACTGGAAATCCCATCATTGAGAAGGAGATTGTGCAGTGGGTAAACAACAAGCTGCAGAGCGCGGGAAAAACTTCGTCTATTAGGAGTTTCCAGGTATATTTAGCTATTTAACTATAAAGCGATTATTTCGAACTTGGGAAAAATGAAATATCGCCAATTGCAAACCACAACAAACCCAATCATAAAGTGAAGTCGTTGCCACAGATGACACAGGGATAAAGGAGCATGGTAGGCCGTTAGGTACCTAAATTTACTTTTAAGCATATAATCTTCTAAAATTTATAGAAAGAAAACGATAGGTTTGTTCGTCCAGTGGTCCAGTGATGTATAGCTACTAACCTACGGATTACGGTATCTACCAAGAGGACCAACCTGATGAGACTAACGAGAGCGAATATCCGACTCATCGTAGAAATCATTTGCACATTCGCTAACATACACCTTACAATGGTAGGAATAGGCAGCGACCCCCTGTGTCCGGAGTGCAGTGAAAGTGAGGAAACAAGCATCTACTCACTGAATGCTCTGGGTACTCGAGACATAGGCAAATACATATGGGTTCGGACGAAGTTACAGAAGATGACATCAAAGACCTACAGATGGAAAAAATAATAAGATTCTGCAGGCAAACCGGAAGGCTTGAAGGGGACACGGGGAGAGTTAGTGGATCCTAAACCTCTGCAAGGAGGAAATGAGTGAAATGGTGGACTGATCACCCGTCCTAACACAGGTGTCCCCGAAAGAAAATAATTATAACCTACGGGTGGGAGGTTCGATTACTAACCGGGCCAACGTGTTTCTAAATATAAATTTACAATTTTGCTAAAACATATTTCAGTTAAATAAATTTGTTTATTATTAATGGTTGGTAGGAATTTCGAAAATCCATCCGGCGTGTGAACCAGTCTCAACAAATGAAAAAGCCTTAAAAATTAATCGCGTTGCGGTAGATGGATTTCTAAATCAAAGCCAAAATAAGTCGCCAACGCCATTTCTTTTGATTTTTTATGGCTAAGGTATTTCACCATTTATTCAGTGAACTATGTACTAGTCTCATTTTCATGAAAATTAATCTTTGTGATTTCAGGATGAAGTCCTGGCCGATGGCAAAGTTGTGATAGATTTGATCGACGCCATCAAACCTGGATCGATTAATTACGATCTCGTTCTGCCAGGCGCTAACCAGGAGGTGAGAAGTTTCTTCCATTTATAGAACATAAAACTATTCTATTTCCTATTAAAATTACTGATCTTTGTTAATACGAGTAGAGATTACATAGAATAAAGTATACTGAATCACCTTAACTAGTAATTATTGGATTATTATAATTTTGATACTATACATTTAAAGTGTGATTTATTAGAAAGTTTCATAGATAAGATATAATTCAAAACTAGTGGTAAAAACTCAGTTGGGTCTGAGAATCGGTTACTATCTATTTTTCATACCCCTAACAGGTTTACTCATCAATTATCACTTGGTGTGTTATCAACCCCCCCCCCCCCCCTCCTGCGTTTACGCTATCACGCTCGCAACACAACCTACAGAATCTCATTATGTTTTGTATGTCTTACAGGAGTGCGCAGCAAACGCCAAATACGCAATTTCGATGGCGAGAAGGTGCGGTGCGCGCGTGTACGCACTACCTGAAGACATCACAGAACGGAAGCCCAAGATGATCATGACTGTCTTCGCCTGTCTCATGGCCCTCGACTACATTCCAACAATGGACGCGCCCGTCGCACAGTGAGTAAACAAAATGGCCGAATAGGGTTGACATTGCATTTATTTCTAAACGGAGAGAACAATGGCCAAATCGTACCTGACGACGACCAGATGCGAGTTATATGTCAAAAAATACGTTTTTTTTTATTCTAGGATATGTTATAAATAACTCATAGTAAAGCCGGGAAAAAAGATATTGACTTTTCTCCCAAATTACTAAACTATGGACGATATAAAATAATGTTGGCTTTTTAAATGGTGTTTTTATACTGGATGGCATTTAATACATCAAAGTAAATCAAACCCTTCGTTATTTGTGCGAAAAATTATTGTCAGTTTACCTCTACAAATTTGGCCATTGTTCTTCCACTTGCCGTATGTAAGCAACGAATCTATAATTAACCCTATTTCAAGGCCGATACGTATAAAAATTATATGGCATAATGTCTATATTGTGTCAAATGGCCATATTAGCGACCTAAAACGTATTGTACTGTAAAAATCGCTTATTCCAATGTATTTTTGGGTGTTTTCGTTGGGAGCTTTGCATATTGTTACATGGTACAATGGTATACGGTATGCATAATTCACCTAATGAATTACTAGCGTACCTACATTATATTATTGGACTGTGCTCTCGAATATAAATACTGCTATTTATTTTTAAGTTTCTATATACAACGTGGTTATTATATTTTATAATTCGTCCTTATCGTTTAAGTATTACGTAAGCTAATTTACTAAGACTATTGTCCCCCCCGCTCCCCCCTTCTTTCTGTCAGGATAACTACTAGAAATAAACTATCGACTACTCAATAATTGACACCCCTCCCCCCCCCCACTATAGTACTTACGTAATACTTGAACGGTCTCTCTTAATTAAAGCAATTCATAATTATTGCATCTAGCGTTCATCAGATTGACGAATACTAAAATGTGAATGACATTTTGATAATCTAATCGACGTAGAGATGACAAGATCTTTCTATTTAGTATTTTTTTATCATTTTAGTATTCATATAGGGCTGTCATTGGAAACATCTATCCATTGAACGTATGCATGATAATTTTGATGGAATTCGTCTTTGTACAGGGGTCAGCTATGATCATATTCATTCGAAAGAAGCCTTTTTTGGGAAAACACTGTATAAATATCACATTTGAGCTTCTATTATTATTTTGTTCTTTAAGAAAGGTCGCTGGTTGTTTCCGAAGTTTATACATTAAACAAAACACAATCAGCGGTTTGAAACGCAAAAAATTGTTAATTTTAAACTATATCCTCACGTTTTGGGAGCACAGGGACGACACATTGGGTGGTAGTTAAAAGTTAATTGCGTTTAGAACCGTCAAATATGTTTTATTTAATGTTTATAACTCCAGGAAACAGATACTACAAGGTTATATGGAATCGTGAAACTTATTGCTTTTAAAATTGCACAAATCAACTTCATTCGTTTACAGTATCTTAATTACTTGTTCATAAGAATAATAAAAAATGTGATAGCTAAAAACACCGCGCGATATTTGATTAACTTTTTTATTATAAATCATAAAAACTTACCAAGAAGTGCTACAACGGTACGCGTAACTTCTAATAATATTTGTGTAACTAACTTATTATAGGGCCTATCTAGTATTTAGGCCTTTAGGTCATAAGAGAATCAATTACCTATATGGCTTGCGTTTAGTACTTATTGTTAGATTAAATGTTTTTATACATTTTTACAACGAAATTTCGATTATTGAGAACTATCAAAAAATATGACGCGTACGCATGACATTTTTAGGATTCACATTCCATGTTGGGTCCAATTTTAGTTTTGACTTACGATTTTCAAATCGTAACGGGCGTATAACAGCGGAATTTAAGACCAATTTATTGAGAACATTCCTTGATTCTGTTTGGCATTCCCGACGCATTTTTAGGTTTAAATCTTCTATAAGTTTACGTGAAAGTATTTTTAGAGATTTTTTTAAATATAACATTCCTATGGGGATACAACGATTTATTTTGATTATTGTATATTTTATTTTGTTAGACATTTTATTGAATATTTTCTATCGGTCCGATATTTAATCATTGTGGTAATAATATTAAATGTACCCGAATAATGTATTAAGCTACCCGCTAGCAATTATTAACATATAAATACATAATAATGTAAGGCTATTAATAAATACATCGGAATTGATAATTCTTTTATTTTTGCACTGAACCGTCTCTGTCTGTAGTTTACGCAAGTAGTACACATTTAAATAAAAACACTTTAACGGTATAAAAAGCGATATAAATTAGTTAAAGTTATTTGAAAATTATTTTAACTACGGCCCGACGTTTTTTAATAAATTTGACTATTTTACATCACGTTTTAAACCGTTAGTGTTTTATTTAAATTGAACTGTCTCTTCCAATTCTCTTACTCTTGAGTCTTGACCGATATACACAAACTTTTGTCGTGTTTGTAAAATACATGTGTATTCATCTTTCATAGCACTAAGAGTCTCGTTCTTACCAGCTTGTGGTATTGTGAATGTCTTCTATTTGGGTAATATAAGCCATTTGGTGTTGTGCTGTCCTGTTTGGCCTTTGGCGTTTGTGGGGTAAGGTGTTTTTATCGTTACCTTATTTATCTTCCGTGCATAATAGAGTTGTCTATACAACTTTAACCTAAATAAGACTTTTTGTTACTCAACTTCTCTTTAGGCCCGAATTAATACAAAACGTAGAGAAAGACTTGGAACCCGTATTCGTGGATGGTATAGTCGGCCAGAACAGACCAGAAGAAATTGTGGATACTAATACTACTAACCTGATTGCAACCGAGACGATTACAGCAGATGATATTGTTACTGCGGACAAAACGATTACTTCTGTAGGAGAAGTAACTGTGCTAACCAACCCGACTAATGGAACTGACACTCCTATTATTGATGACCTGGTTGCCCAGACTACGGAAAAGCCCGTGCTACCTCCAAAACCTGAAAATCTTACGCGCTCTCTGTCTGTTACTTCAGAATAAGTAGAACAAATAGTGAAATCAAATTTTATTCTAAACTTGGGTGTTTATATTCTTGTATTAAAATATAAATTATTATTTATTTGAGCAACTTCTTGTAGAGAATTGTGTGTTTAGTCAGCGTAGTTACTAATATAGAGATTTTTATTTTTAATTTACAGCGGTAGGTTTGATTTTTTTTTAATAATATGAAGGTAGAATGGACTTTCCGTACTCGCTACAATTACAGTCAATTACTTAAAAAGTGAATATAACGAACGTTGTACGTTATTAAATGAAATTAGAAATAAATTTATTTTTGTATTTTTTTACAGTTTTCTTTTCTTTTATACCTTTTTTTTACAACTCAATAGTTTCAATATTTGACTCAGACAGAGAGATTCACTCAAGTTTATATCTTCCATAGTACCACATGAAAATTGAGAATCTCTCAGCACATCAACCATACAGAGTAGTTTTGTATCACAAAAAAGGTCAACAAGTCGTTAAGAAGGGGCCGTTGCTAACGATTCAGTGGCACCAATGAGCTTCCCGTATCCGTCTTCAAGCTGTCAATCGATTGGAGACAAATAATGTGGGTAAGTTACCAGAGTTACGTCAAAGTAGCTGCGCGGGCGCTGATTCGTTAGCACTCAGGTATAATGGCTGAAGATGTCACACGCATAAACGAACACCACTTGCAAACTTCTGACACTAGTATCTTCTTGAAGTTGTTTCAATTTGATTGTATTGTATTTTAGAGTAACTTTTAACGGTCAGGGGAAGAAGACACCCGACAGTTTTTATTAATTATTATTATAGACCCTTTTTCTATTTGTTAACACAATCAGAAGACTCGCCTTCAACGCTTAAAGAATGCTTTGGTAACGAAGTAGAAAAAATACGTCTTACAGGAAAAAATATAAAAAGATCGGCATCGCCGGTACTTTGCCTATAGAGGGCACATCAAGCGGAGAGGGGGAAGCGACTTTTGATTGGATAAAACTGGCTGCTTAACTTAATACGGATTTCGGATGTTATAGAAAGATTTTGAATATTGATTTATACATTGTAAAGACGATATTTACGAGGGTCTAGGAAAGCAAGAATATCCATCAAAAATAAATTACTGCGTTTGTCAGTCAAGTACTTTAAAGTACAACAATTTATTAAGTGGTTAGGTAGATGTGACGATGTTGCCGAGAGATAGTCGAAGGAACTCCTCAACATTTCAGAGCAGCAGTATATTAAAAAAAATGTATTGTTAGTAACTTAACTCGTTACTAATTATCAAGAGCCTATAAAACGAAGGACGTTTAAGGAAATCATTTACAGTCTTTGTAGCATTCATAAATAATGGGTGGGATCAAGGATGCCTATTGAAGCTCTAAATAAAACATATAATGAATAAAATTGTGATGATTTATTCCATTCTTATTCCATAGCTGAAAACAGGTCATCGTTTGAACTTTTTACTGAGAGCAATTCAAAAATTAAATAATAAAAACATTGCATTGGATAAACGCTCGCAACATACGAGACAAATGAATCATTATTGACTTTATTACATTAAATTATAAATAAATGGTTTTATGTCGTTCCGTATGCACTGTTAATGTAACCTCAAAATGTGACAAAACCTTGCGTGCAGCAAACTTATTTACATAAAATACAAACTTTGTTTTCAAAAACATTACGAATTGTATCAGGAATTTTATAACGAGCAATTAGTTGTCAATTTTGGAATGTCTCAAAGAATTAGATTGATTATTTTGACCTTTATTACATTTTTAAACTAATTATTGCTTAGGATACATTTTAATCGTGCTAGCAAATATATATCAATAAACACTTAACGGTTTAAAACGTGATAGAATTGTTTTCACCCCATCACCACGGCTTGTGCAAAGCGTCAAAATATTTTTTTTCTTCGCGTTTTAAACCGTTAAATATTTTATTCATCGGCTGTTAATACAAATCGTGTCCGTACTTAATCATTTGTATGTAATCTCAGCTCTATCAAATTAAAGTCACAAATATCACATGCGATATTCTTAACATTTTCAACATTAATATAATTTAATAAATAAAATCGACTCTGTACCGAAATAAGGACCGATGCACACTAAGCGGTTTACCAGTGATCCTTAGCTCGTGTATACTAAAACTTATAAAAGTTCTGTATTTTTGTATGTTTTCTTTTTAACATTTTTTTAATTTGGCCAGCTGAAATAAAAAAAAGGTCGTTTTAGTTGCCTTGGTCGCGTATATGGAAAACCTCAAAAATGTTACTTTTGTTTTTTTTTCTTTTTGTTTAATTTTCGTTCTCATATAAATTGTTCAATATTAAACATATTGTGTTATGTTTAATGTTATATGAAACATCCATGACACCATTTCATTTTTGTATATTTATATATGTTTGACTCTACGACTTCAAGAAGCTGAGTGATGACCCTCCACATACATCGTATTTAAAAGTATTGTATTATTGTTCTATTATATTAAATTTGTGTGAAAAATAAATAATTTGATTTAAATTGTGACGCAGTAAGATTTGGCCGCCAGAAAACCATTGCGGGTAGTTAGAAAACCGCTTAGTGTGTATCAGCCCTTAGACTTGGAACAACAGACACATTATATACAGATGTTCAGCACGAGCCGATTCCAATTGTACTAATTTTATGCAAATTATACATAAAACATCCAATAAATAATTTTTCGTTCGACAAGTAAAGCTTTAATTTAGAGAAATCACATCGCTGACAACACGTGTTGGCTGGTTCAATGTATAACATGTGTAAACATGGCTCAACTCCGTATTATTCATAGAATATCGAATAATATCACATACTACATTGTCCTTACTAACTGGTCATAAAAAAACGGAATTAAACGGAAAATTTAAATATCGAATAGGAAAATTATAACGACCTTTTCTTAACAATTAGCTCCACTGGACAATCGCAGGACAGAATTGCAATCACACGATCGCCGCGAAATATCAACCACACAACGATTTGCACTCATACCTGAAGTTGAAAAGAAACAAAAAATAAATAAAAAGAAAAATAAAATAAAAAAAATTATTGCAATTGCGTCCCTAAAGGATATATATTGGCTCTTTATAGAATCTCTAATCCGACACACTACCCACGCCCGTCCCCCGCATCCCTCATCCCTCTCCCGCCAACCCCTTACAACCCCGGCTTCCCTCGCCCTTTTGCTTTTGTTGCTGATAAGTTGTTTAAAATTAAAAAAAGATACCAGTCGTCACGAACGACTAAATGTGGTGGGCACCCCCCGTGAGTAGAATGCTGGATTCTACTGTAGGTATTTGCTGTTTGATAAATGTAATAATGTGATATGACTTAAGCATTTAACAATATAATACACAATATATTACAAGCTTACCGTTGAGTGAGGAACGCTAAATGAATTAATATCAAGTCGCTGATATTCAAACGTTTGAGCTACATTTAAATTCCGTTTGAATTTCTATAAAAATATAAAATTATACATTCAAGTATCAAAAGCTATTTTCGTTAACCGCACTCGATATTGTTGCCATATGAAACGCTCGTTGAATATCAGCGACATGGCAATAATATACATATTTGAAACTAACAATAGTATAAATTGTTTTTTAGATCTATGGAGGCGCGAAGCGAGTATAAACTTTGAACGTATGAAAACAACAGTAGCTACTTGAATAGTTGGTCTGCATTTAAAACGCCTAAAAAATATCTTTTAATAAACAATTTAAAACATTAAAAATACTTATAAAACGCCTCCAATAAAAACACTCGTACAATTCAATATTTTCAAATAATCATGTCGCCCTAACATCGAAACGTCGGACTAGAAATGAAAGTCAGTATCCCAACACCGTGACCTGTGCTACGACTTAGGTTTACGTTTTATTTTCTTTGAGTAAAATTGAGCAACGTAGAAAATAATAATGAATATGATGAAGACAACGTCTTTAGTTTGTTTAGAAATATTATTATTTATGATGAGAGATGTGTATAGTATGAATTGAGCTTTAGAGAAATAAGAGGGTAGAAAGTTAATTGCATCTATCATAACGCGACGTGACTAGTACAATATTAAATTATCAAAAACGACTGTCAAAGAATATAAAACGTAAACTAAGAATATACGACCGATTCCGACAGTTGAGTGTTTCCTTTTAGATAAAATTATGCAGCATTACAGGAAGTTGTGCTTATAAAGAATTTAACGAAATATACCAGTTCCAGCCCCACCCCCTTTTTGGTCAGACTATTAAATGTTATCTTGGTCAACAATCGTAAATGATATAATTGCTCCCCCCCCCCCCCAAATTAGTTAATTGTAGGAATCGTTCGTTTATCAGCGGCACCAGTGACTTCGATTCCAATGGCATTACCTGTCGTGGTGCTTATCTAGAAGGTACTCCTTGAGACGTCTCACGAGGTGTTCAGATAGCTGCGTGACTTCCGGCCACTGCTTCAGGACCATGACACCCAACATTACGGCTAGACTCGTTGTTAGGACGCGCACTCTGCAAGCCACATTGACACTTCGCCTTAGAAAACACTTTTAACGGTTTTGAACGCGAAATATTTTGTTAATTGGTTTTAACACTAGAAACAGATAAGTGTTCTTTGAAAAATAAGTTCACAGATATAGTTTCGAATTTTTTTACTGTCTGGAATTTTTAAATAGCTGGTGCCCGCGACTTCGTCTACGCAGGATTAGTATTTGGAGTAGCTTATATTAACGTGGCGTAGAAAAGAACTAACATTATATAATAAATATGTGTAACTAAAGTTTATGGCAGCTCACGCCAGAATAGCTCGCAGACAGGTAGGTTTTTTCCTAGTTACTTGACACTTAATGTTATATTTTGGACAGCTCACACAATATCTTTAATAATTGTAGCCTATGTGTTATTCTGATATTTCCAATAATATAAGCTATATTATTGGGAAGTTTTATTAAAATGCATTCAGTAGTTTTTGCGTGAACTCTTCAGAGAATACAAACATCCATCCACACATACAAACTTTTACGTTTATATTATTAGTAGGATATGGTAAATTAAGGTTAAGTGTGCTCTTTCTGACAGAGAAAGATAGACAAGCATATGACGGGCAAGACTATATAACATCTAAACATTATGCGCTATGCGCTGACCTATTGTGCGTTTGAATAAAAAAAAACAGACTGAAACGCAAACGCGATTTTACGGATTTTCCTGATGTGGGCACTGGTTTGTGACCCGGTAGGCAAATTTTACGATATTTAACAGAAATTTTCATGTAAAAAAATAGATTTAGTTAGATTATTGGTTTTATAAACTAACCTTGGGGGGTCTTCTCTATCAAAATAAGACATTCATTTGTAATTTTTATTTCTATATAAACATTAATAAATAAATTAGTGATTCGGTAGTGCAGACCACCAAAACATTAAACTTCATAACTACTTCACTTGGGCTTTAGACAGAACTGACCTTGTGCGTAAAAAGGGCATCGCCACACCGGCGACAGTCGCGACCAGCAAAAGCGCCAATTGCAACAGCGTAAGCGCCACATTGAGTAGTTTAACGACGACGACGCGGAGCGGCAACGCCGCACCACCCGTCTCACCGCCCACCCCGCCACCACCACCAGCACCCCCGCCAGCCATCCATTGCTCTAGTTTGCTTATCTGTAAACAAAACCAGATTATTAGATTACTAGCTGTCTCAGCGACTTCGGCCACCTAAAAAAGTTGTTTTGGGCATTCAAAAACCTTATAAAATTGACGTACGCTGATAGCCTGAGTTTTTAAATCAATCCAGTAGTTTCTGAGATTAGCGCTTTCAAACAAACAAACTCTTTACCGTTATATGTTAGTATAGATAGACCTATTTTGGCTTTGGGAATACGAAAGTCGAGACTGAAACCGAACCGCGATTAAATTTCACGATCTTTTTTATTTCTGGTTGGTGGTTCTGAATTTTGATATTATTACCTATCATTATTTCAGGCGAAGTCCAACACGTATCAGAAAGATTATAAAGTGATTAGACACGTTTGACCCAGGGGAGGTCGAACCCACGACTCGTTAGCCACACATTGCTACCTTTAGACCAAAGAACGAGCCTGCCAAGAACAAAAGAGCACCTTAGTTTACTAAATTAAGTATTATTAATTGTATAAATATTATAATTACCTTCGTCTGACATAAATCTAACGCCTCGTGGATATCTCTTATACGTTCTTCGCTCTGATACTGCACCTTCTCTTCCACGTCCGTTAGGGCCTGCTTCAAGTTTTCCACCTGACCACAGAGTACAAGAATACATATCAAATAAAAATCACAAAGCGACGAATCTTAAAAAAAAAAATCTTAGAATCATCTCAATATAATAATTTTACCCTTGTAACAATGTCCTACATAGTTATTTGACCCAACAAATTTTTAGTCCTCTCTAACGGCGGAAAGGAGGGGGGCTAGTGATGGTGTTGTTGATCCCCCCCTGAGCTGGTTCCAGGACTTACGTGGAGCAGTAATTGATATAATTTACAAGTTAATATGTCTTATGGTCTTCAAGTAGACAAAGAATAAATATTTCTTAAGTAATGTTAATTAATAAAATGTCAGATTTTTTTACTTGTATCTATCGTTTTAGATCCAAAGACAAAGCTGGATACGCCCTTGATTCTCTTAAGATTATGACAACTAGTTTTACAATCAATGAAGCCGTTGAGCTTCCAAGTTACCTCGTTCTGATGCAACTCCGTAAGATCGTTGATCTGCTCTTCCAATCTCTCCGTCTTAAACCTCTCTTCTTGCAACGCAGCGGATAAGAAGGACACTTCTTGAGTTAAGTTCTGAAATTTATAATGATAAAGCTTAACGTCTTCCATGACTACTTAAACTAAGGAAAACTACGTTACCATTTAGCTATATATCACAGTGGCAGTTGGCAGGGCGACTAGCGCTACAAAATCCGACTCAATAAAAGTATTATACATTTAAAGTGTAATATAATCCTTAAAATGTAAAATTTTATACGTTTTATTTAGTTACGGATACAAGCTCAGGTGACCGCCAACTTTCAACCACTTAATGGTTAAGCCCTGGGTTCGAATACTGGTAGAACAATGGATGTTTCGGTACACGCGGATAAGGTACAGTAGTCTGATTAACTACTCGCCTGTAAAAGATCCGATCATAGAAACGGACACAGAATTATACGAACATATTTCTGTGCCGCGATGTAAACGGCAATTACTTGTATACCTTCAGTGCATCAATCTTCTCCGCCAATCGCTCATAATCCTCCCGTCGCTCGCGCAGCTCATTTAGTATCGGCTTGAGACTGAACGTCGCTTCCGACATATTGTTGGAACCAGCTTGCGTTGGATATCTGGAAATTTAAGTATTTTCTGGAGTATACATATAAATAACACTTTTAACGGTTTAAAACTCGAAGAAATCGGGAAAACCATTAATCCTGGTGGGTTTCCGTTGCATAGCAGCGCAAACGGTTCTAGATACACAAAAAATATGTATGAACGAATGATTTCTTTTTAAATGATCTAAAAATTTGTCACAGGACAGTCATATCTATCTTTTAAGATTAACTTACAAGAATCACGGGACGCAGACGATAATGTAGGTAAAAGCTTTTGTAGAGTTAAACGGAAGGTTTGCAAGAACAAAATTTCATGCCCGAAATAACGATTCTACGCGAACGAAGTCGCTGGCACAGCCAGTAGTAAATAATATAAAGGTGGCTGGAGTATTTCACCTTCCATCAAGTAAAATCCATGCGTGTCTTGTCTGGGCTTGGTCTTGGTATACTCACGGTGCTCCCTCGCTGGTGACCGAAGAACTGGGGGATGCGTCAGGTGAGTACTTCGGTGCAGGGGATGTGGCAGCCCTGGGCAGAGTGGAGCCCCGGGGCGCGTTCTCACCGGCCTCGGAAGCGCGCGATCCTTCAGACGACGCGTTCGCTGCGTTGTAGGTATACTCAATACGAGATATTTACATTTCAAGGGATTTTGTGAAATGTATATATAGAAAAATATAATGACAGATGCCTTATAGTTTAAATAAAACACTTTTGACCGTATAAAACGCGATATATGTTACTTAACTTATTACAACTTTATTTTAGTTTCGGATGCTTTGCACCAGCAAAATGGAGGGTGTCCCTAGTGTCAAAGTTAAATATGCTACGCTAGCGCCATCTGTTTATCGTAGTGGGTATTTGAAACTTGCTGCGTCCTTACAGAAGTAAGAGACTGTATTTTCTCGTTTTTGGTAATATTTTTATTATAATGCATTCTGAAACTTCGGGCCGTAGTTAAAATAATTTTTCGACAAGTTTAAGTAATATATTCCGCGTTTTAAACGGTTAAAAGTGTTTTAGTTGAATGTGTATTACTCGCGTAAACTACAGACAATATTGCCTTACAGTTAATTATAGTATAGTGGTACGCATTAAATATTTTCCAGAAGAAAGGGTATCACTATTGTAAAGTTCACTTCATTTAACACGAAGAGCAATTATCTTTAGCTGTCACCATAACTTCCAAAAAAGTATTTTAAATGCCTACTGTATTTATTGACAATTAATTGAATAGAGTTTTAAGCCGTTTCAAACATTTTTAATAGGCCAATGGTATTGTTTGTCCCAACTAATAAATCCTTTTACATATCAATAAACATTAAAAGTAGATAAAGATTAAATTAAAAATGTATTTCGTGTTATAACTTTTGTAAAAAAAATGTTAAATAGTGTCTACATTGTTTATTAAAGTATTAATTTAGTTTGTGCTTTTGGAAGTAAAATACAGTATTATTTTTATTTATGATACATATTATGTTAGAAGCGTGTAACTCAACAAAACTAAGCCGTGTTGTAAATATGCAAGGTAGAAATAAAAAGTATAATTTTAAGTAATTATTAATACTATATCGACGTTAAATATATATTTACCTCTCAGCTCCGCATGTTGGGGGGCTAGCGTGCAAGAATAACAGAATGTAAGCACAAAGTAAAGAAAAGTTGTTTATTCAAGAATATCTATATAACTTCGAATAACAGCGGGTTTTAAGTAACTAAAAAATAACATAAGAAATAAAGATTTTTTTTATAACTATGGTAATAAGATTTTAATAAGACATTATAAAGATTAAAATAAGCGTGACTCCATGAAAAGGCAACCAATATGTTATAAGAAAGAAAACACATCGCTTATAAAGTGTGAAATGCCTCAAGACAGAATTCGAGATACCGAATTCGATCCCTACACAAGACAGGACTATTTACATTTATTATAAAGAAAGCACTGCAGGAGGCCTACCTCCACCCAACCTTATTGCTAATTTTGTGACAATAGTCGTTAGAATCGACCAAGGCGCATTGCTTAAACCCTCTTACCAATAAAGGATTTTCCCAGCTCGATTAACTTAGTTAAAACACAATTTTTCAAAAAATATATCAGTGCACCAACTAAAAATGTATACACTAACTAAGCAACGAAAGCTAAAAATGGATAGCGTATCCAATGACGTACAGTTGTAGAGACACTAAGAGCTAATTTATCCGCAGTTAAACTAAAGTCATGTTAGAATGAGATTAGGAGATTACACGAGATGTTACGCAACTGTTATGTTTACAGTATACTTGACTTGTTGGTCTAACAATAGCAGCGTCTAATAATCAACGTGAGTTCAATTCCTAATTCCAATATAAATTTTAAAGTCAATTTATTGATTTTGTTAAATGTGTTGTGGGTAAGATCTGTATACGAAGTGGGCGGTAGAAATATAAAAATCATGAACCATGGTTCGTGGGTTCGATTTCCACGGGTCCAACTAGCTTATAATTCTGAAATATGTTAGTTCGCTTTAAATCTGGACAGTCGATCGAAAGCCAAGTGTTCATCAACGTTTCGGTTGCAATCTCTTTAGACAGAGCCAGAATCAAATGAACGTCATGCTTATCTAGTTAGCTATCTAATGTCCTTTGTCGTAAAATTGTATATGTTATAGGAACTCACAATTACATTTCTTTCGACACTTCTTGCAGTTCTTCAGAAACATTCGCGAAACTAAACACGTCTTTTACTTAAACGCGTCTGTCAATTGTTTTACGATTGACGTTAGTGACGTTACGCGAATCGTTACGAACGCGGTAAAACGTCAAATGCACTTATCTCTTATCAACTCGTGACTATCTCAGCGCTTCATAAACGATTCGACCTTGGTCGCTTTGTATAGAAAATTTGTAACTGAATTGTTAAACGTGTTGCATAGCGTTGAGCGCGCGTGTCCTGTGTTCGAATCCCGGGGAAATAATCATCGATCGATCAACTCCTAAGACACCGTTCAATGTAACATACACGGAAGTGTATTCGTCCCATGCCCCACGCAGGGAAACGAGATTTCACTTCATCTGTGTATAGACAGTGCGTAAGAGGTTATTTTTGTAGATGTAAACCTGTGATCAAATGACACAACTAAAGTCGGAAACACATTTTCGCGGCCGTTTCAGTTATGAATTTTATCTGGATGAATTTACAACGGGCAAATACGCTAGTTTCGTCCAAATATCCAAAGCCAAAATAGGTCGAGAGCGCATGTTGTTTAGAAGTTATAGGGCTGGCGTTTATCACCTTCCTTTAAGTGCACCCTAACTTATCTATTTTCCTATATAGTAAAACAATGCTCTGGCTGACCAAACCGTTATACCATTTTTATATATATATAATATTTTATATGGCAAAAGAACATTTCAAAGTCAACTAGTAACGATATATTATTATAGATTTGTATCATACCAAATAATTAAATTTAACTGACGTGCACAAAAAAACGTTTTACAAGTTAAAATAATCAAGATTAGAATTAGTTTTTGTGTATTTTAAAAACCCAATTAAATTAATGAAACACTACTGTGCATTTTTAAAAGTTAAACTAAACGGGCATTCCTTTACTTAATACTTACAAGGACCCGTGTTTTCTGCGAGACAAATTGTAACATTTAGCATACAGATGGACATACAAATAGCTACTTCAAATTACTTATAATAAATACATAAAATCCAAGTGTATCATTTTATATGTGCAAGTTATCTGATTGACGAATACAAAAAAATACTAACAGTATTGTATTGTAGATCTTAAATTATTGTGTGTTTGGAATTTTCCTCAAATATTAATTCTAGTTTCTACTAGAATAAGTAGAATTATCAACATTAACAAGACCAATTGTTCTAAAAGGTTTTAAACCCTTTTCGGCCGTCAAGATTGAGAAATGTTTCATCGCTTCACTATCACTCTTCGCTTAGCTTAACGCTTAACACCTCCAGGTGCCATCCATTCGTTATAAATAATGCCTCGCACGCACGAGAGTCAAAAAAACGTTGCGTTAATGCGCCGACGCATTTTTAACGCAAGTATGAACCATTGTATGTATTATATGGTATATTTCCAACGCCATTAGAAAGATTACGTCCGATAAAAAAAGCTCTCGTGCGAATGAATCTCAATAATGACGGTCGAACAACTCGAAAATCCAAGAACAATATATCGTATAATGTTTTGGGTGGTATTGTGTATGTATGTGTGCATATACAGACCGGCTAGATGAGCAATGTTGTCCGCTGAACCGAAGCGATTAGAGCGCGAGAAGAGATGCGCGAACTCCCTCGGGGCGGCCATGACACTGCCTCCAAGACCAGTGATACCATCGCGAATGTTCCCACCGACATTCCTTAAAAGAAAACATACTTAAGATATTATGTATAAAGTTTGAAAATCTGGATATTTAATGGGTGGCAGGAATATCGTAAATCCATGAATCGTCCACAGATGAAGTGTAATTGTGGTTTCAGTCTGTGGATTTCAGTCTGTGGATTTCAGTCTGTGGATAGGTCAACTGTGCATCTTGTTTAGATGTTATATGGCTGGTGTATTTCGTCTTCCTTTAACTGAACATTATGCTTGAGTGTCTCGTTCTAATTAAAATAGGTATTGGCATTCATTTGTTGATATAGCCATGGTTTTTTTTAGCGCAGTCCAAATGATAAAAGGGATTATTCTTCATCATTTGGTATTACAGCAAAGACTAACTCGAAATACAAACTAGCTTATACTTATACCAGGGCACAGAAGTCTAGCTACTTGCATACTTGTCTACTACATGCCCCACGATGGGGAAACGGGCTTTCACTTTTTATACTTATACATCTTAAACATTTGTTAAGTGGTTGCTTTTTCTTTAATACAACTGTATTGCGTCTGCGCATAGTTCAAAATAATGTAGAATGTGTTGAATGAGATGTATGACAAGCGAGTGTGAAAGAGAGGGAGAAACATAGATCAAAGATGGCGATTTAAGACGTTGGGCGTAAATAGCTAAGACGTATAATTTTAAGAGGAAGACGAAATTAAAGATTTATCAATATCTTGTTGTTTTTTTTTGTGCTCGCAAAAATCCCTACAGTTATAAGTTTTTTAGGTGTCATAATGGCTAAATAATATCGCTGTTGAAATGCACTTACTTCAAACCCTGTCCCATGTCTCGTAACACCTCCCTGGGTTGTCTATGTGACTGTCCACTTGTGCCATGTTGCTGGAATATAATAATATAGTTTAAAATTGGAGAATTATTATTTTGAGATTGTTTTTTTTAATACTATAAGAGGTGGTCCATCATGCAAAACTCAAGTGACAAGTACTGATAAATTTTACAGCTTTAGGAAATCGTAAGGCATACACAATAAAAAAACCTTTTTATTTGAGAGTTTTTATAGGGACATTTAAGATGTCTTTACCTCCCAATTCTTGATTCGTTTGTTGTATCCCTCCAATTTCTTCTGCAGCTGAACAATACATAACGCGCTCTTCTGATTTTTCTTCTCGAACACCGCCTTGATGCGCTGCAGTTGCTGCTTGTCGGCATTTGCTGCTAGCTTTAGGTACTCGTTTACGTTATCTGTGAGAATAAAATGTTTAATGACTCATAAAAAAAAATCATAAAACTTATTTAACAAACAATATCAAGAAATAAATACATACATGTTTCATTTAAATACAATATAGTTACTTCTGAAAAGAAGCTACATTGGGACTAATGTCGCAACAGTGATATTTTGTGGCCCTTTCAGAGGCCGAACTAACGCGAGCGAGATTAACGCGTTGACACGAACAAACAAAAAAATAATCTTTACAATATTAATATAGATAGTTACAATGAAAACCTTCACAAAATCTCACCATCTCTAATGGTCTGTTCCAGCCGGATCAAGTCCTTGGTCCGTTCAATTTTGCTATTCAGATGCGCGATGGCCGCTAGCGCCTTTGCAGAGGTCACGTTTCCACCCTCACTGTCTTCCGCTGAACAAAGAAGATAAGAAACCAAGAAAAAAAAAGTTAAAGTAAAAATCTCAGTCTCATAGCATATTTTATATTCTTGCCATCTGTAAGGGATTGTGGTAGAGACAAAAACTTATAACGCATTTCAAGGCATTATCGACATTACGATTAAATGACATTTAATGACAAATAATAAAACACATTTAACGGTTTTAAAACGCGGAAAAGATTAATTACGCCGGGTCGTAGACAAATACAATTTAATAAAGGTAACTAATATATTTCGCGTTTAGCACCGTTAAAAATGTTTTGTTTCAATTTATACCACAAGCATAGAGTACAGAAAATATTAAATTGACTATGTTAATTTTAGATTTACTATCTGGATGATATTATTATTCAGAAAGTAAGTAGTATTTTCAAAAACTTTGAGTAAATGACTTATGTTTAAAATGTTTGAGTATACATATTGTGATATTTAAATTGACACTTACAGGTTTGAGTTAAATAATCGCCATCTTGACCTGAAAATTAAAAAAAAAACATACAAATACTGTCCATAGTCTACGCAAGTTGTACACATTTAAATAAAACACTTTAACGGTTTAAAAAGCGATATATTAGTTAAACGTTTTCCCCGTGACAACGGCTGATGCAAAGCTCCAAACGTCGAGCGAAGTTAAAAATCATTTCCAAATAAGTTTAACTAATATATCGCGTTTTAAACCGTTAAAGTGTTTTATTTAAGAACATACATATTATTTTTACCGCCCTATAATTAAACTATAGAAAACATAATAAAAATAGCAACACTTAAAATTTCCATCGAATCTAATTTAACTTATAATATTAAAACAAATTTAAGCTTTTATAAATATAATTTTTATTAGACAAATAGTATGTATAACACGGTTGGACTTGTGCCCTGTTCGACCGAAAATATAAATTATAGTCCTAAGAATTTAAGCTCAAGACTTCTTGCATTTAATTCTATCCCAGGCAACACATTTAATTAGTTAGTAGTTATAATACCTCTGTAGGCAGGTGACCCATATTCGTCAGCTGACAAGGCATACGACACATTGGGGCTGTAAACTGCAGTAACATAGTCTCCAGGGCCTATTATGTTCGATGCATTTTTCTTCTGCGGTGAATCTTCCAATCTGAAATTTACATAACATTATTAACATCATAACTCTAAGTCGTGAGCAGATTTTGGAAATCTATAGCTAATAAACGACGGGTCGCAGGTTCGATCTCCAGTGAGTCTAACAAAATTAAAATCCATTTAAACTTCCTGAAGCATTTCGTCTGGAAATCTGGACATGGGTGGTGAGAATTACGTAATTTTGTTCGGGTATCGAACCACGGTCCGTAGTTAAAAGCCGTGGAGAGTAATCGCGTTTCGGTTGCAATCTGTGGATTTCCGAATATCCAAAGGCAAAAAAGTGAATCCCGCGTTTCTATCACTAATATGGAAGTTTACGAAGGTTGTTATTATAAAACTATAACGCTTTGTTAATATAAAACTTACTCCCTCGTAGAATTTCCCGTGGTGTTAGCTGACAGTGGGCTGTTCCCGAGATCTCTGGAATGTGACTTGACATGGTGTGGGCGGTTTTCGCCGTGGCGTGAAGATGATGGATCCTGAAAGCGGTTTTATTAAAATCAGAACAAAGTACACACAGTACATTGTACAGCGTGTCTTATTGCTAAAACATAATTTAATCTGTAATTAGAGCGATTGTTACACATTATATAAAACCCGTTTAACGGTTTAAAACGCGACTCACATAAGTTATTCGCCTTTTTCTATGTGACCATGTTTGCAAAACGTCTAATCCTAGTTATGTTGTTCGCGTTAAATTTAACAAACAGACAAATATATATCTGCGTGTATTTAAACACTTGTACATCTTATTTTTCAGCCTCATTATTAATACTAATACCCACCACGTCACTCAGGGGCACATTAGTGATGATCGTTTTTTCTAGATTCGGAATAATGTAACATTTTGCTCTTATTAAATGATGATGTGAAGAAACGAGACTTTGGCGGCTGATAACACTATCAATAGTTGAATGACAGATAAAATTTCTAAACAAAATATTATATTATCTCACTTATAAGCTATTCGTAATATTATTAAATACATTTTAGTAAGGAAATTCTTTAGTTTCATTATAGGGTAGAATTCTCCCGGTTTCTCTTCGGGGGCTTACATCTTTGGTATTTGTGGAATGGAATTTGTTAATAGTTGCCATGGTAACGAATTCCTGTGTAAGGTTTTATTATCAGGTCAAGGTATGTTTCAGCTTTGTGGAAACGGCAATAAAGCTAGAACAGAGTTGTAAGTGGTACGTTTAACACATTTTTCTTTTGTCTATTCCTCAATTACTAATACGTAAGACGATCGGATGACTTCCTCTTTAGGTATAAAACTACTAAAAGACACACACATTTGTTGCATCAAATGTTTACTAATTACTATGTAAGTACTGTTTGTAGTTTGCGCGTGTAGGTATACAATAAAACACTTAACGGTTTAAGACGCGGCATGTATTAGTTAACTTATTCACAAATTATGTAATTACGCCGACTTTACGGATGAATTGCAGAAGCCGTCGTCACGTTCGCGTTTTAAACCGTTAAAGTGATTTAAGTATACTACCTAAAATTACGTGTTCGTTGGTAACATTGGTTTTGGTATCAAATATGTTATGTCTATTTAATAATAAGTGCAGTCTTGTATTAAAACTTGTAATTAATACAATTATGTAAAAATAACATTTAATAGTTTTGTGAAAGCTGTTTTTCATTTTATTAAAGGTTATACGATTGTTTTGTATTAGCGTTCGTTCGGTTAATCTAAGTTCGGATAATCGACCTTCTACTGTTTTGTTTAAGCTACATCCTGCATCTGTATGAAAAACTTAAACAGTATTTTGATACAAATTTTATTGAAATAACTTTAACTTTAAAATTATTTTTAACTACGGCCGACGTTTCGGATGCTTTGCCATCAGCAGTCTCCGCAGTGACCACGGTACATCGTACTACTCGCGTAAACTGCAGACAGTAGACAACTTTCATTGCATTATTTTAAAACATAGTCATATAAGTCAGACTCAACGTTTATACCAATTGTCATGGGTCGCTTTAGAAATCAGTACGTGTTAATTGCATCAATTTACTCCAACGAATTGACCTTAAAGACCATTTTTTTGTTTATGTTATTTTATTGCAGTAACAGACACGGAACGGGAATAATTCTGTGCACGATTCACTGAGCCATTTGGATTGTACCCAAATAAATTTTCCTTGATTCAAATCCTGAGAAAACAACACATTGTTTCGGTGGGCACATCACAGAAGTCAAGAGAAATTTGTTCGCTCCATGCCCCAGGGGGGAAACGCCATTATACTTTTTTACCAAATTCGAATTCTGGAATTCGCATATCTCAAAACAAAATCTCAATTGCCAATGTAATGAAGATCTAGGCATCTAGGATACAGTTATTTATTTTACAATTTAAAATCTTAATTTTTTTATTTATATAATGCCATCATGTGCAAGTATCAATAAGTTGAAATAATTCGACGATGACGTGTTGGGCACGGTAGCTCAATTGGTTAGAGCAACAGCACGGAAAGCTGACGATGCCGGTACAAGTCCTGCCCGAGTCGAAAATTTTTTTCAATTTATTTTCGATTTTTAAATTATATAGTGCCTTCATGTGCAATAACATGTGAAAAATATTAATGTTTTCAAACGTTATAACTTTGTAATTTCATCTTCAATGATTTCTTAAGCTGCAAAGCATAAGACATTGAACCTTAATGCGTAAGTGTTAGGGTTGAAATTACATTGCGCGAGAGGTGCACGTATCAATAAGTTATCGGATACAGTATCAACTCACAGTAACGTGGTGTACAGTGGACGGCGACTGGACCCGGGACCGTATTACCGAGTCGTCCGTCACGGCCGGGTCCCTCGCCAGCTCCGCCGTGGACGGGGACTGACTCCTGCTGGATCCCTTGCTGTGACCATGCCCCACGTGCAACGTATCCATCCCTAAAGAGCGGCTATAAACATTTTCACTTATTCGATTCTTCGCTTCGAAGTTCCGATTGATCCATGTTTATTTGTCTGAAAACAACGAACGATTTGCAATTAACTGTTTGTATTGCTATCAATTAGGGTGTTAAGATAAAAGAAAATATAGTTTATCTATTACAGAACAAGATAATAAAGTTACTATTGTTATTGATGTGTAAATTATTAAAATAGAACGGTTTAAAACATGAAATATATTGGTAACATAAGTTAGCACTGTCTTTTATTTCTATGAGCGTACTTTGTTACAATTTGTAAATTATGTTCCGAATATCCAAAGTCAAAACAGGTCGACAGCAAATCTTGTGTAAATGTTTTATGGCTGTGGTATTTCACCCCCCCCCCCATTAAGTGAACCCTATACTTGTCTGTCCTCGTCTACCATAAAAAAATACATTGTGATGATTCGGCTAAGGTAATAAAGCTGAAGCGTCGGTCCAATAATATTGTCTATACATAATAATACTACATATTTATTTTAAAAATTGCTTTATTATTAATAAAACACCCGACAGAAAATACATATTAATGAGGAAAAATTTTACGTACTAACTTTTAAATAAAGGCGGCCTTATCGCTAAGTGGCTAAGTGGTAAGTTCTCTTCCAGGCAACCTGATGTACAGGAGAAAGAAATAGAAAATAATTTATATAGTGGGTAGGTGTAAGGAATAACAAAGGTACATAGGAAAAGGACACAGTAGGAGAGAAACTTATAGAGCAAACTCTTAAAAGAACGGAGTGACTGAGCTTTTCCGATATTAGTGGGAAGAGAGTTCCAAAATAGCTTTAGCTGTGACGGAATTATTAAAGAAAGAGCTTTTATGTTTGGGAACAAATAAAAGGAGATTATCGATCGAACTACGATGAGATACACAACTTTTAAATAAAACACTTTAACGGTTTAAAACGCCCTATATATCAAGTTAAAATTATTTTCTTTCCGATGCTTTGCAGCAGCGGTAGTCATGGCAGGTGTCTCTGACGTCAAAGTAAAAATTGCCACGATGGCGCTAGCGGAGTAACTTTAACTAATATATATCGCGTTATACACCGTTAGTGTTTTATTTAAATGTGTACTACTCGCGTAAACAAGTATCAAATCGACAAGAGAAAATCTCATTTCAGTCGCGAGGCATATGTCAAACGTGCTATTCAAATAAGCTTCACATATTTTAATACAGTATTCGACGAGGAAAATTACTCGAGACCGGGTTTTAAACATTCACAAAGCGACCGCAATCGAAATAGAATTTCTGAAGCGCGGGAGCGGTATACAGCCGTCAAACTCTGTACTTCTGTTCGAAGTTGTAATAAGTGTATCGTGCGACCGTCTTGAAGGACGTCCATTATTAAATTCCAAAACTGTGCTACTTTGAATGTCTGCCAAGGATTCGAAACTTTATTGTTTATTATCTGTCGCCAATTATTTGAAACTTTTGCGTACATATTACTGTACCGCTTCTGTGTGGATAACTACCGCCACTAAATCCATTACTAAGTACTGTCTATAGTTTACGCGAGTAGTACACATTTAAATAAAACACTTTAACGGTTTAAACACGATATATATGAGTTAAACTTATTTAAAAATGACGTTTCGGATGCTTTGCAGCTCCCCATCATCATTTTCAAATAAGTTTAACTAATATATCGCGTTTTAAACCGTTAAAGTGTTTTATTTAAATCTATATCTACTAATATTATAAAGCAGAAGAGTTTATTTGAACGCGCTAATCTCAGGTGCTACTGGTTCGAATTGATTTTTTTGTTGGTTAAAGCATTTATTGAGAAAAGCTTTAAGCTAAAACATCATACTGCGTCCAGTAGGGGCGAAGAAACAGAGGTAAATGTGGATCTTTCAGGGCTTCCGTTGCGAAAACGTTTCAGGAAACCAAAAAATATGTATGCAAGAATGATTTTTCTGTAAATGGTTTAAAAATGTCCGCGACAGTATATGCTTATCTATAAAGATGATGAACGACCTCGGTTTGCGAAAACAAATTTCGACGTCCAAATTAACTATTCTTTAGCATTCGAACCCTGATCGTTATCGGAGGTATAGCATAACAATTGAACGAGGCGCATAGTTCGCGTTTTGGTTTCAGTCCATGGATTTCCAAATATCCAAAACCTATAGTTGGGGTAATTTTCCTACCATCAAGTATACCCCACGCGTGTATGCCCTCTATCGTAAAAAGAACTAAGGCCGCATTTCGCTGTTCAAACCGCCCGTGAATATTAAAACACTTTCCAATTTCGTCTACCTAATTTGGTATGAAGCCGAATATTGTGGCATTGGGCTGTCTAATATAAACACGATCCTTTTAGGTATGAGCTTCCTACAAGTAAAAGCGATGCTAAATATTTAGTATCATTAAAAATAATGCTTTTCATCCACAAAGGAATTACCATTATTTAGTCCTATTAAAAAAACTACTACTAACGGCCATTTGGCAGCTGTCTTGGTCACGGGGGGGCTGAATATTGTATTGTAACTGTAATAACGTTAGTAATTTCGCGTTTCAAACCGTTAAATGTGTATTATTTGCGTAAAAAATAAACGTATAAACGTACACATTTCAATAAAACAAAATGTAACGGTTTAAAATGTGAAGTGCATTAGTTATCATGTGCCATTACGTCCATGTTCATACGAGCATAGACAAAATAAATTAATAATGAGTTCACTTATATATTTCGCGTTTTAACCAGTTTAAAATGTGTTATTGCTATTCCCACTATAAAATTAAACATAAAATAACTATATTCAACTCGCACTTGGTTGCAGCGTGGATATGAACTTCATAAATCAACATAAAGAACAATTTTTCACAGTGTAACTAAAGCGTACTTTTGATTCACGTTCGAAATAAATTGAGTTATTGACTGACTTCCTAGAACGAGTATATTTTTAGCTCAACATTTACCCGTACAATGTACTTCTATATACCTAGTACATAAAAATACTTAATACATATTACAAGGACTATTATTTACGCGTTTACATTAAATTAAACACTTATATTGGTTTAAACGACGAAACTTTTAAACGACTTTAAATTATGATCCGACGAATCGGATGCAGCAAAAGGACAAAAAGACTAAGATGATGGACGTCCCTAAAGTCACTCAACTTCGGATTAGGTGGCGCCAGCGTAGTAGATTTGATTCTTTAATTTCACCATATAATAGAACAAATAATTTCCTTCTTCTTAAGGTAATTTTTTATATTAGGTTTAACATAAGGTTCGCTACTGCAGACAATCAAGAAACGTGTTTTGTTGTTCACAATAGAATAGAACAGACAAACTTGTGGTTCACTACATGTAACTTCTAACACGATGTGATGTCGACCTATTTAGACTTTGGATATTCGGAAATCGACAGACTGAAACCGAAACATGTTTGCCTTCACGGCTTTGTCGTCTCTGGACGGAATTTTCCGACGAATGTATTTGAAAAATTGTAGAGATCGAACCATAACCCGTTAACATTGCTACCACTAGAACGAGTCCGCCCAAGCCCTAAGTAAACTCACCGGCACGGTCTTTACTACTTGTACCATCTTTTATTGATCGATGGTATGAACAAAACATGATATTCCAATATATATATTTAGAAGTTTCTAGAAGAGAAACCAATATACCAATATCGTGTTTCATATCGCGAACGATAAAACAATTTTACATAAACAACTCAACGTTTGTTAATAACCCTTTTCAGCTATTAATACATCATTACCTTTTCATTACGCAACGAGGGAATAAAGTACAAACGAGAGCCAACACGAAATGTTTTATTCATTCTCTTTGATTCGATAGAAGGAGTTCAGATTGTACAAGAGGTTTCATGAAAAATGCAATGTTACTGATTCCAAAAATATCTTTATAATATAACGTAATATACATTACTATTTAAATAAAACACTTTTAACGGTTTAAAACGAAACATATATAATTTACAATTGTTACAGGAAAGTGACCACGGCTGCTGTAAAGCATCTCAAGCGTCGGGCCGAGGTTACAATTAAGAGGTTAAAATTTATTAAATGTAAAAAAGTAGTTATAGCGACGTAACTACAATAGTTAGACATATTCTTTCGGGATGTTTTTTGTAGATATTGATATAATCTATAATATTGTCGAACATTTTTTTGTCCTATCATTAATACTTTTCGCAGCGTATGCGAAGAAAGACGTTTTGCGGCAATTTTTTTACGCCTTCCGTTGGTTTTAGTAATAATTTCTATAGATGCCTATAGCAATCAAGTACTAAATATAGCCTATGTTACTCAGTGATAATGTAGCTTTCTAATTAAAAAAGAATTATTGAAAAACGTCCAGTACTTTTTGAGTTTATCCATTACATACAAAAATACAAATCTTTCCGTTTTATAATATTAGTATAGTAAACAAACAATTTTAAGATGCTTAAGAAACGACTCAGAAACCACAATTAAATAGATATACCCACAGTAGTCGCAGTGCAATAATGTAACCGCCATTAAGGTCAAAAGTCATAAAATTTATGTAACATAATAAAAATTAATGGCACTGACATTCACACACACACTCACACACAAATAACTTTAAGGGGAACATAGACCATATAAAAACAAAACAAAATTACAAAAACACGTTTAACGGTTAATGCGAAATGTATAAGTAGAACTTATTTAATTATTTTAACGGCCCGAAGTTTCGAATGCTTTGACGAATCAGTGAAACCGTAAATAAGTTTAACTTATTTGAAAATTATTTTAGTATTATCTAAGTCTTTAATTTTATCGCGTTTTAAAACGTAAAAAGTGTACTGCTCGCGTAAACTACAGACAGTATTTAAATACCACCATTCCCCGCGACCTTTTAGCGTCTAAGAAGGGAAAGCAAAACAATTGAATATCGACGACTACTACGAATATCGTAAAAAGCTAATGTAAAAAAGTGTTCACGGGG